TCGCAGTTCGGCACCCAGAGTCACCCTCGCGCCACGATGAGGCGCTAGACCACCACTGCCTTTTCGTAGGCCCTAAATAGAAGCTACCCTCCCCTTTGACTGTCACATATCTCACTTTGCATCGAAATATGGTCTTGAATTTTCAAAATTGGGTGATTAGAATTCTTTTTGTATTGCCTGCATTCTATCTCTAGCTCCAATAGAAAATCCATACAATGAAAACTTTGCTAAACTTATGCTAGCCAGATTGCGTCTCCGGTCATAGGAACACATGCACACTGGACAGATGCCTTTCTAGGACAGCAATGCTAGGATTGAAAACATTCGGGTTACAATTTTGCTGTAATAACCTATTAATAATTTCAGTAAAAATGTTTTGATTAAGTGTACGAAATCAACACAAAAAGAAGGAATAACTTTGTTCAAAGTTTTTATATTGTGGAAAGGTAGTTTTCAATTTTCGAGCTGAATTTCTCTATTTTATTAAAAAATCTTAGCAAATATGTCTGTCTGAACTATGTTATATTATATAAAACTTTGAAATTGACGTTATTTTCTATTGTTATATAATAATTACCATGCCTCTTTTACTTCAACACAACGCCTTATCCCGTGGAATCGAGGTTTAATTCGAATTTTGCTTAGGTAACACATAGTAAAGATTGTAAGGTTAGTTAATCAAATTCTGGAGCTGGTAATAATCAAATAGCAAATCAAAGCTATGTGACTTGTGAAAGAGTTAATACCAATTATTTTCTCTTCCTTCAACTGATAAATGCTGTCATCTTGATGAAACATTATGCCTTAAGGTAAATTTCCATGTTCTTGCAGACGTGAGATGTACAATTGCATAAGCAATGACGTAGCCAAGACGAGATAATTTCGTTGTTCCTTTAAAAACACCACATTGGGATAGCATTTCCGAAAACATTGCTTTCAGAGGTAGAAGAAATCAGAGTAAATCTATGTACATATTTCATTTCGAGCTTCTGCTTTCGTGTTGAAAGCAGAGATTTGATGAGTTTTAGTGTGGTGTTACTTTATATATGAATTAGTATTAATTTTTACTTTAAATATCTCAAAGGTATTGACTCAGTATGCAAGAAATGGCCCAACTTTCAATCCAAGGCCAATGTTTATATTCGTTTGATCCTCCCTGTCAGCCAGCTGTCCCTCGGCAGGCTTTCGACTACACAGTGCTACTTCCAGCATCCAACAAAACCTTTTCGTCAGACTAATTTCATCGCTTTTTCACTATCCACTTGTTATTGATTCGTTCTGCTTGAACGATTTGTAGTTTGCCTGGCTTGCTTAAGTCCAAAATTGACTCTATTTACTTTCTTCCTTTGTCTCCATCTAACATAACTCATTTTGTTGTTTGAGCTCGCCAAAAGTCGAACATTTCCGTATAAAACATCATCTAACAACAGCTGACGCCGAGTTAATGTGCGAGTTTGTGTGAACTCGTCGTAAGCCGTACAAATACACACGCATACACGCGGCCAGCTCTAGCTTTGCCACTTATTGGCCTCCTCACGCTAAAGATTTCTAGCGCCATTCTCGGCCAGCAGTTTATAGGACCATTGGTTATTACATGTTTCGCACTTATGAGCATGGATGTAAACAATATAAACCTAAACTCAGGGTAAGTTTTTTTAAAGTAATTCTTGAAGTTCGCCGTTTGATTTTGGATATGAAATTTTTTCAGCACAATTTTCCTAATCCTTGAATTATAAACAGAAATTTATAAAGGATTCTTGCACTTTTAAAGAAAGATGCTACTTTTAATGTTATAGACAGTGATTGTGGGTTCTTACCCTTTCATATCAACTCTTGCAACTCAATTTTATCTACTGCCTTTGA